TCTTTTAATGCTTACTTGTTACATGTTTTTAATATTCATGCTCCTATTACAGAATCTTACACTAAACATCAGGGTTATCCTTGGATAACACCAACTATTAGGATGATGATAAGGTTGAGAGACGAAGCTCATGCCAAGGGTTGACAAAACTCGAAACTGATAAAAAATTCTACAAAGAACTCAGATCTACTGTAAATAAGGCTATGTTCTCTGAAAAAGTAGCATATTTTCGCTACAGTATTAACTTGAACACGGTTAATTCGAAAAAGTTATGGAGTAATTTTAAAAAGAATGTTGTCGATTTTAAACAAAAGCAAACCTCTGCCCGTGGGCCTTAATGACGCAGATCTTGTCAACAACCATTTTCTTGATGTACCTGGAAATGACAGCGTTTCTACTGCAGACCTCGTGTACTTTAAAAGCAATAGGTTCTGTACTGCATCTTTTAAACTGAAACCTGATCATGAAATAACTGTTTCAAAAATAATTATGAGTATAACTACTAACGCCGAAGGTATGGATGGTATGACTCGTGATATGGTCATGCTAACTTTGCCACGAACGCTTAAAGTTATTACTGCGTTCGTAAATTTATCTATTCAACATGGGGTCTTTCCAGAAGCTTGGAAGGAGGCACTTGTGAAACCCCTACCAAAAGTTAATAACCCCACAGAACTAAAAGATCTCCGACCTGTTAGTATACTTCCTTTCTTGTCGAAAATAATTGAAAAAGTCGTAAGCTTATCGAGTTTTTGAGTTCAAATAATATTTTACCTTTGAAACAGTCAGGATTCCGAGCTGGCCGCAGCACAGCGACCGCCTTAATGGATATTATTGACGATACCCTCGCCGGAATCGATGTAGGGAAGGGATCAATAATCTCTTTACTTGATTTTTCGCGCGCGTTCGATACCATTAACCATGAGCTTCTTTTGGCCAAATTATTGTTTTACGGTTTCGACAACCAAACGTTAAAGTGGTTCTCTAGTTACCTAAGTGGTCGCTCACAGCGAGTAGAAATTATTGGTGATACTGGAATCAAATCATTTTCGGAGGCGCTTCCTATAGGCCGAGGGATACCGCAGGGGTCTATATTGGGTCCAATCCTCTTTAATTTGTATAGCGCAGACTTACCAATTAACATTAATAATTTTTTTTAATTGCAGCATTTCGTGGCAGTTTTCGTTATGCCGCCACGAAATGTTGGAATAATATTCCACCACCTTTTAGAAATTGTCACACTGTAAAATCTTTTAAATTTAGATATAAACAGTATCTTTTGAATCAACAGAAATTAACTTAGCCTGTGCTGTGTTGTATAGATGCTATATTGGCATTTACTTAGTGGGTTCCTACAATTTACTCTATTAATATTACATAATCCTGCAATACCAATGAACATTTAATTTAATATTTTTACCATTTAACTGTTAAGTATTTTATTACATTATATTGAGTTCGTACTTGTCACCATATATTATATGGTTCGGCGTGTCGTTGCAGCGCGTACTGGTACTTCCTAACTGGCCGGTGTCTCCGGAAGACCAGCGTTGGGGTGTTGCAATATGCCTCGACGAATGCTGAGTAGACGTCGGTTTAGCGTTATACTTATATCTAGGCTTAAGAATGTAAAATTTGTAAATTGTAATATGGCATAATTATGACGCTAATAAACAATTTTTCTTTCTTTCTTTTTCTTTATCATAAAAAAATATTTAACTATAATATCACGCTCAATAATATATTCTACTGTGAAAGTTATAATCGAGTAAAACAATAGCCAGTTCGTATACAAAGTATAAAGATATATGAAGATAATGGTACAGAAAGGTTTATCTTATAAAAAGTGATTTAGAGACAGGATGCCACAAATTGTAAGTGTATTAATTAGGTTTAAATAAAAATAATCGATATTTCTGTGTTACATTATGGACTTTTAATAATATAAATGAAACCTAGTTTTTATTGAAACCTATAAAGTACGATGTAATATGTGAACCAATGTTGCCTGTTAGGTCAATATATTATGTAAATTTTAGATTTAGATAATTAGGTTTAGATAAAAGTAAACGTTATTGCGTGTTACATTATGGACTTTTAATATTCGGGCTGTATATTTGAAAGTGGGACATACTTATAGAGTGCGATATATTCCTGATTCTGAACCCAAAGAAATAATGAAGTAATGAACTTAAACTTTACAAAAAAAAATATTTTTTATTTTTTTATCGACTACTACTTGAGAACAACATTAGTCATCGAAATCTATGCACGTCACTATTATTGCTCCGAAGCAGCAGCGGGTGACGGCACGACGGTGAAAAAAAAAGCACAGATCGGGTGTGGGGGCGCGGGAGCATACGCGAAATTGCTGTTTGCAACTACAGATAGCGCAACCTTGATCTAATGAAGACACGTAAATTATTTGTACTTCCGCTCACCCGATCGCCGCAAAATGGATATTTATTCTAACGTCGAATTGACTGACATGGTGCGACTTTACGCAATAAGTGGTGATAGTGTGAGGCAAGCTATTGAAAAGTTCCCAAATCGGAGTTTACGTGGAGGAGGTGAACAGTGTCGAAATGTTGCGTGAGAGGACTATCTCAGCATTTTATACTGTGAGTCAAAATGTGTTTGTGTTGTACAAATTAAAACAAAATTTACTATGCCGTGCTAGACTATGCATTGTGGAAAACAGTGGACATTTTGAACACTTGCTCCGTAACACGTAAGTGTAAATACACTATAAATAACTAAAAAATCAATTATTGTAAATAATTTGATTTCACATCTTTAACTACGCCAAAAACCTCAATTCTTATTAAATGATAACTAATTACTAAATCATAAAGTTATCTTTTTTAGTACGTAAAACATTTCGATGATAGTTCAAGTAAAAAACAATTAACATGAGCTAAAACGTAAATGTGAAATCATTTTTATTGTTGCTGTCTCACTCGGCGCTCGCTTGGTAGTATTCCCATTGCACTCGAAATCAAGCGTAAAGGGAATCGGTTTATTCCTAGGTACACTTCAAAACACATTTGTTGATTTCTTTTTTGTTATATCCCATATCCTAATTTTATTTTAGTCTATGTTAAGTTGTAACATGATTTACTATGACATGTATGAATATGTCTTACTTTCAAATATACAGCCTGTATAAATGAAACTTAGTTTTTATTGAAACCCATAAAGTACAATGTAATATTTGAACAAATGTTGCCTCTTAGGTCAATGTATTAAGTAAGTTTTAAATTAGGTTTAGATAATAGTAAACGTTATTTCGTGTTCCATTATGGAGTGTTAATATATAAATGAAACTTAGTTTTTATTGATACCTATAAAGTACAATGTAATATATCAACTAAAGTTGCCTGTTAGGTCATTGTATTGTGTAAGTTTATACTTTTTTTCTTGTTGTTGTTTTTGTGTTTGCAGACTCGGATTTTAATCCGCTAGTCAAAGTCAAATAATCATTTATTCCGTAGGTAAAATTTTTACAAGTTTCAAGCCACGAGACGCAAAAGAACTTTGCTGCAAAGCGAAACACACAATTTTTCACTTACTATAGCGAGGGAAATGGTAATTGTGTAGTGTATTGACATAATATACTATAAACAATAGTCAATATATGTTACACTGCCCGCCGTTCCCGCCAAGATGACACGAGACAGTGGCGTGGCATGTATCGCAGGTGTACGTGAAGCAACAAACATTGTTTTAAAGCTAACCCCCAACAAACGCTACAATGGCGCCCCTGCCTGCGAGTAAATAATATTTCACGGTATAGTCGGGTTATCAGCTTTGTTTCAATTTTGTTTCAAAAGAAAAAAGAGATTGAGATATGTACCACGATTTCAAAAGATTAGAATCCATTTCACTAAAGCATATAAATGAATATCTGCACATTGGAAGTGTGTGTTATGATTTCAAGTGATTTAAGTCTATTTAGATAACATATATACAAACATATTATCCGTATATCACCGTGTAGGGGAGAGCGGGGCTGAAAGTGCCGGGGGTAAGTTGTGCCGATTCAAATATCTCAAAAACGGAAAGAGATAGCTATACGTACTTGCCAAGTACTTGCTCGATGCCCTAGATGGACTGCAGCGCTACGCCTTCCGTGTTGTCAACGATCCTCATGTAACTGAGCATGCGGAGTCGTTACAGCTTCGCAGAGATATAGCGTCTCTTAGCGTATTCTATCGCCTGTACCACGGTGAGTGCTCTGAAGAGTTATTCAACCTTATCCCTTCCTCTCCTTTCCATCAGCGGACCACCCGTGCCGGACTGCGTTGCCACAGTTGGACGGTCAGTTCAATACCGTCCCGCACTAAAAAGTTTGGCAATTCGTTTTTATGCCGAACCATCAAATTGTGGAACCAACTCCCGGCGCATGTATTCCCTCCCCTCTATAACATCGGGTCCTTCAAACGTAGTGTGAAGAAGCATTTGGCCAGACCGGCAAAATGATAGTGACGGAGTGAAGATATTTGTGTTTTCCATCCGTTACTCTCATCTCTGGACTGTATTCGCACTTTCCATCAGGCGCGGTGCAGTCACTTTGCCGAGTCACAATAAAAAAAAAAAAAAAAAAAACGTTCATATTACGCGGTTAATGCCTAGCGGTCTGACGTTGTAGCGCATGAGCGGCAGCCATTTCAGTTGTGTCTGCGACTCGGGCCGAGCGGCAGTGTGTGAAAGGGTCCTCCAGCACTACGTGAGTAAATATTTTCGTGTCTATACTTTTTGGTCTCACGTTAGCATTTTTGGTGCTACGGATATGGGAGTTTTACTAACGCTTTTGTAAATTATCTAGAAGTATTAATCTATGCAAGTTTTACGTTTTGTACAGAATTTTTTTTTTACATATGATAAAATGTCAATGTGATCGAAACGGGGTAAAAAGTGCCATTCATTAGGGGTTAATTGTGCCGCGGCACAACCAACCCCCACCTAACCTTTAATAACCTTTATTTATTTTTTATAGAATGAGAACATATAAGCGAAAGACACAGAGGGGAACTACTTCCCAGGATCTTCTTCAAAGGGCTGCGGACGCGGTCATTAAGGACGGATGCAAATTAAAGACTGTTGCTCGTAATTTGGACATTTGTCATACAACGTTGCAAAGGTACGTCAAAAAAATAAAGAGTGGACTTACTCCAACGGTTGGATATAAACCAAGATTAGTTTTTAATGATGAACAAGAGACGTCAATGACATCATACATCCGAAAAAGCGCCTCTATCTACTTCGGCCTTCTACCTGGAGAAGTTAGACAACTTGCATACCAGTGTGCGACAAAATATGGTGTCCAAAACATTCCACCATCTTGGCATAAAAATGGTGAGGCCGGCAAGGATTGGTTGACAAATTTTTTGAAAAGAAACCCGACACTATCGATAAGAACACCGGAAGCAACGAGTGCAGGACGCGCGACCTCATTCAACAGACATAACGTGAACCAATTCTTTGAGAAACTTGGTGATCAAATTACGAAGCATAATCTCACTCCTTCACGTATATGGAATTTGGACGAGACTGGAGTCCATACTGTGCTGAAACCTAGGAAAATTGTAGCTGAAAAAGGAACAAAGCAAGTAGGAGCAATTGTATCAGCAGAACGTGGAACTTTAGTCACAGTAGAGCTAGCGGTAAATGCTTTAGGTAACACGATTCCGCCTATGTTCGTATTTCCACGTCTGAAATACAAAAATCTTTTTATTCGTGACGGCCCTCCTGAGTGTGTTGGTGCTGGTAACCGCTCGGGTTGGATGACAAGCGCGGAATTCCTGATCTTTATGGATCATTTCATAAAACATGTAAAGCCTAGTCCTGAAGAACCAGTACTTTTACTGCTAGACAACCATTCATCCCACATTAATATTGATGTCATTGAAAAAGCCAAAGAAAATTCAATTATATTCCTATCATTCCCACCACATTGCACCCACCGCCTGCAACCACTAGACGTGGGTGTCAATGGCCCTTTCAAAACATACTGCTCAAAAGCCCAGGACAACTGGCTACGAAATAATCCTGGGAAGACTATGTCAATCTACGAAATACCAGGTATAGTTAAATGTGCATTCCCGCTAGCAGCAACACCCACCAATATTTGCAATGCATTTAAAAAGGCTGGTATTTGGCCTTATGATTCGACTATTTTTACAGACGAAGACTTTGCACCATCTTTCGTCACCGATCGGCCAATGCCAGATAATCTTCACTTACAAGAGATGATTTTACCTGATCCCTCAAGCATGCCAGAAAGGACCTCTGATTATCACCGAGCGTCAATGATAAATGAGCCAGGACCTTCAGGTATAGAGCAATCTATCAATGTGGAATGTGGAAACGAGCCCGGTCCATCGGGTTGTCAGCAACCAGAGTCACACCATAGTTCAGAGCTTATTCCTCACTATTATGCTCGAGCTGGTGATCACATCACTTCTCAAACAGAAGGTAACGATGCACCTTTCTCTCCGGAGTTGATTAGACCATTACCTAAAGCTCCTCCCCGTTTATTGGGACATAATAAACAACGTAAAAGAAAGTCAGCTGTTCTTACGGATACTCCGGAAAAAAATGCTTTGGCAGAAGAACAGGCTAAGAAAAAGAAAGAAAGTAAGACTAAAGTAAATGGGAAGGGAAAAGCTGGTAAAGAAAACAAAAAAGAAACTAAACAAAAAAGGAAGAATGCCGCTAGAAGGAAAGTTCTCCAAGAAGATGATGAAAGTACCGATGAAGAGAACGAATTAGAATGGTACTGCATCATATGCTGTGACTCTTACTCTAACTCTGCGCCTGGAGAAAAATGGATTGAATGCAGAGTCTGTAAGAATTGGGCCCATTTGCAATGTGTTGAAAATGAAGAAACATTTGTATGCCCTAACTGCTTTTCTGATCAGTCATCTGAAGAATAGGTTAAGTTTTTAATTATTTTATTGGTTTAAATTATTTGACATTATGGAGACAAATTTGAGAGACTGATTAATAATATGATAATTAAGGAGCCAAGCTTAACCTTAAGTATCAAGAGGATTTTTGATTATTCTTAGTATCGTAGCCTTTAAAGGCATATATAAATAGATCTCATTTCTATTATAAGTTTATATAGTATAATAATAACAATAAATATAGAAGATACTTTGAGTTTGCCATACGAAGAAGAATAATAGGCAATTATTATTTGTTTTCATATTACGAACATTTAAAACTGCTAAATAGTAACAAATTTAAAACTGTTAATTTAAAGTTGATTATTTGAAGTTGATTATTTAAAGTTGATTATATAATAAACGAACTACAGTAAATAAATATAAAGTAAACAAAGGTTTCTTATTTATAAATCCAATTTATTCCAGGTTGAAGGCATAATATTATGAACGGCACAACCAACCTCAGCTAGGGCACAACTTGCCCCCGAGAGGGGTCTGTAGTGCCTTACGACCGC